CATGAATTTTTGCATAATGAGCTAAGGTGGCCGGTGGCGTGCGCACCGTGCGCCGCCTACGGCGTTAAGCCGATCCTCGACCAAACCTTATTTTTCTTCGACAACTAACACTTAACTGAACATGAAATAATTTTTACTGATCAAATCAATATGAACTGCTCGAAGGATTCCTATCCAACGTGACCATAAACATGCACGGCCCGTGGTATGCGCTACATGCGCCAACCACACTCTTTGGCCAACTCATTGACTTAACATGATAATTCCTCGGCCCACATGAGTTAACTGAACATGAAATGATATAAAATAACTGAATTCATGAAAATTGCTCGAGAGTTTTTGGATCAAAATGAACATGACTTGGTCATGACTTAACGTGCATGGTCGAGAAAAATTATAGAAAATTCATGAACTTGACTTGAACATAATTGATCTAACATGATTCTAATAATATCACAAGAAGTGAACCGAGGTTACCTCTTCGAACGCTCGGCTGATCGGACCTAAACTCGTGATAATTCAGACGTGCGCCTCCGTGAATGCGGTACTCTCTCTCGCGCTGCTTGTGCCTAGGCTACGCGTGCGGTACTCTCTTTAAACTAAAGGAAATTTCTCACTTCTTTCTATACTTAGCACATATATATATATTAAAGTATGTAGGAGCAAATTTCTCCCCAACCTATGCTATATATATGGCCGAAAGTAAAGTGAAGAGGTGGGGAATTTATTTTGTCCAATAATCTAACACCACTTGCTAAGTTTATAGAGCTTAAAGTGCTTAGTCATATAAACATGGTATTAGTCACCACTTAACCTCCTCAAATGAGGCCACCTCATGCTAAGCAAAATCCACCTCAAGCTTAAGAAAATGAAAAGTTTCCCCATGAATTCTTGAACTAAAATGCATACGGCATTTTATTGGAAATTTTGCAAAAATGCTACGGCATTTACTTGCTAAACATGATTAATTATTAATTAATCACAATCTTACGCTTAATTAATTAACTAAGCATGATACTTAATTTCTAAAATTATTCCGAACGTAAACGTGACTTCGAAAATAATTTCGGATAATCTTGATTGAAATAATTAATTCCGAACTCATTTATTATATGAATGAATTTGGAATTATATCTGAAAACTTATTCGGTTACTGAAACAATTAAACCGAATAATTTATCGACTAATAGTCGGACTTTAACTGAAACTGAATAAATGGCTTGAACTTAATTTTTGACGATTAACTTGTGGAATAATTAATCCCAACCTGCTGATGTCCATTTATTAATATAAACGGACTGAGATTAATTACTATCACTGACTCGGTTAATAAATAAAATTAACCAGATATATATATTCGACTTAACGTCGAACTTGGAATTTAACTAGCTGAATAACATGAACTTTGAACATTAACATGAATTTTTATTAACAAGGGCTAGCTTTTACTCGAAAGCTAGTATTTTCCTTTATTAATAAAATACGGGCGTTACATGATGTGAAGGCGTTGTTCGCTTTTTAAGAAATCTTACGACACCAGCAATTATTAGAGTTCGGTGTTACCGGGGATCGATAGGACGTTGGTCGCTAAGCTTCCCGAGACTTTACACGGCTATATGCCAGAATAGTTTTGGGTCGGTAATGAGTGGAGGACCGAAGATGCAAATCGGCATCCCAAAACTCACTTAATCTCCGACACGAGTAAGTTTTTTCGATTTTTTGTTTAATGATTCAACTTTCTTTTGGTGCTAACAGGTCGGTGTTTGCATTTTCAGTCCGTAGTCCCAACGTGGATCTCAGTGCCGACCTCGCTGCCAAGGTCGCCACTCTGTTAAGACGTCCCTCGAAGATCGGCCCTATCCGCCCTTGGTCGAGGAGCAGAGTTTGTTTGATTACGGCTTGTGTCCGGAGATTCCTAATAAGTCCTTTGCTCTATGTATCCGTCTTTCCTCAGCTCGTCTTTTCTGTTATCGTTTATCATTTTCTGATCAAGCGTGTGTGCTTTGCAGCTTATTACCTGTTACTCCGCTACAGTGGGTCCAATTCCATCAAAGAGGCCAACAAATACCGACGCGCCAACCCTTATCCCCTTAAGACTAGATCAAAAGAGATGTCGGCTCACCTAAAAATGGCCATGGAGAGGGCGAAGAAAGCCCAGTCGTCGAGTTCAGCTGATCTCGAAAATGTCGTACCACCAACCATCGGCGTTATGTGTGGCAACCGAGCTACCGACTGTGGGGGACGCACTGACAGTCGTGGAATTGAGGCTGGTTGGGGGATCGACCACCAAGGGTCAGGCGTCAAGCCGCCGGTGATTAGGCTTCGAGCTCGAGAAGAGATGTTGATCGCACCTGCTGGGAAAGAGGCGCCCACCAAGGATGCCCTAGATCGTAGCCCACCCAAGAAGAAGAAATTCATGGAGGAGAAATAGGAGGGGTCCTCCCTTGGCGTAGGAATGGAAGGTCCCCGTCCAACAGGCTGGCCTATCGATTTGAGCGCCGATTGGCCTGAAGAAGAGGGAGCATTTTCTAAAGGACCTCGCCGGGTTCCTTGATGGTTGGTTCATTGATGCCAAAGCTGCCATGGAAATAGATCTTCTTGATGAATTCGACCACCCTAAGGCCACCATGCAGGCTTCTCGACTCCCGATGATCGCCTGGATGCCAACCGCTGAGGTCGCCGTTCCCATGTTGAATAATACTCAATTGATCCAGCACTTCGCCTCGACCATCTCTGGGGCACTGATCGAGCTTGTTCATGTCGGCGATTAGACGCAGGAGACAGATGCCGAGCCGAGAAAGCTGGAGAATACCCATGGTCTTTGTCGGGCGCGCATTCGTTCTCTGAACGACAAAGCCAATAGGGTGTAAGATCTTAAACGGGGCTCGTCCTCGCCCTTGGGGAGGCCATGAAGGC